AGTGTACTCTAGATTATCTTTGCACTAAATGTACAAATACAGTTGTTTATAAAATCACTAAGACAAAAATGTGTACATATAGTTAAGTGTAGTAAATTAAACTGTGGGTAAAGTTTGAAATGTATAATTCGGTCTAAAAATCAATCACGTCATGTAGTTCAAAATAAATGTTGTTGCTAACTATGAGTGGTGCTTTGGAATTCTGACTTTTATCTGCAGCATTGAGATTATAAGTACAGTGCGTATACAGTAAGTATTATGCAGTATATACAGTTCATGCTTAAAACTAGATACTTGTGGATTTGTATCTAAAACACAATGCAAAGATTTAGCTAGGCAAGTAATAATAAGTGAAAATTGCGTTTAAAAGATTTAAATATTGTTTTAAGTCAATCCAAAATATGACGCAACTAGTTGTGGCTCTACATGGAGCAATTACACCCAGGCAGCACAAGGACGTTTGATTTTTATCTTCACAAGAAGACCGTCTCGTCAAAGTTAATAAAAATAAAAATGTAATCACCAAACACTTCGACGAAGCTGAAACAAGTTGCGTCATCAGCATTTTTTTTATTGTCTTATGGATGGCATTTAAAATTTTAAAATATTATTCGGATATCTTGAAGATAGTATCTACAGTACAGAAAAGTACTTAATCTTCTTATTAATCGTACCCTTAAACTGCACAAATGCACAATATAATTTCCATGACAGCTTACACGCCTATAAAGTGTGATAGTTCAGATAACGAAAGTTGTCATTGGTTCAACCTTCAACACCATCCAAGGAACACATGGCTTATTGCCATTTTTTGCTATAAACGCAATCAATGGCAGTCTCATAGTTGGACACCTGCAGAAAGACCCGCCAAACTCGTGTGACAATCAGCTGTTTACTCCCGCCATTTCACGCCCTCTGCACCGGCACGCCGCGGTGTTTTGAAGGTTATGTTTACGTCCTGAAGGCCACTCTACAATGGAACCGGTCCGATCTCGGCGTTGCCAAACATCGCTCCATAGTTCTTTGACCTCATTCACAGCTCAAGGCAGTACCTCATTCATCAGTACGGTTAAAATACAAACCCAGCATAAGTAGAGATTTTTGTCGTGGTGTAATTATTCTAAGGCATTTAAATTAGTATATCTAGATTTAAAAGGATTTTACATGGTAATGTGTTTATTTATTTATTTATTTATTTATTTACAGACGGAAAACTCCATTTTCATACATACAATCATGGCAAGAAGTTTCATTCAACTTACATAGAACAATTCATACATCACATCAAGATGACCTGACTAAAGAACCCTAATAAATAAGAATGTATCAAAATATATCAATATATATAACAATAGATAACAAAAAATAACAATGAATAGCAATGAATTACAATAAATAACAATAAAACAATAAATAACAATAAATACAATAAATAACAACAATAATTAACAATCAACATGGGGAACAACAAGTTTGGTAATTAGCTAACAAGATAAAAAATCAAAAAACAAGTAACAGTAAACAACAACTACAGAAACAAAAAAGAAGGTAACAGTATAATGATCAACAGCAGCTAAGCGAAGAAACTCTTCAGCCCATTTCTAAAGACTTCATCGGACATGGAGAAGAAGTCCAGGTGTTCTGGAAGACAGTTTCCAAGGCGATGGAGACGTGGCATAGTGCTGTGGTACGCATATTGTGTAGAGCAATATCTCCTCTCAAACAGTTGTTTTGATCTTGTCGATTTCAACGCTCGAAGGTCGATTCTTCCCAACAATTCAGGTGAGTCCACTGAAGCTGAGATTATCTTCCTCAGAAACATTAAATCGGAGATTCTACGCCTGACTGACAAGGGTTGAAGACGAAGGAGGTGGCTTAGCTCGTCCAAGGGTACATCTTCATAACGAAAGCCCAGCTGCAGTCCAACAATTCGAACGAATCGTCTTTGTATTCCCTCAAGAAGTTCTATGTGGCCCAGCTGATACGGTGACCACACTGGAGAACAGTACTCAAGGATAGGGCGGATAAGTTGAACGTAAAGAGTCCTTAGTGCTTCTGGCGAAAAACCGTCCTTAGACACTCTAATAATAAAACCAAGAACAGAGTTTGCTCTTCTACTAATGGCATCAAGGTGAGCATCGGGACTTAGTGAAGATGTTAAAGTCACACCAAGGTCCTTAACAACAGATGATCTGGAAAGTGATTTTCCTCCAAGAGTATAACCATGCATCATGGTATTTGCCCGTCGTGAGAAGGAGAGCACCGTGCATTTGGAGATGTTAAGCTCCATTTCATTCTTGAGGCACCACAGTAATACTTGGTCAAGGTCGGCTTGAAGCATATCACAATCATACTCCGACGAAATTTCCTTGTATATTTTAGCGTCATCTGCAAAGAGTAATATTTTACAATTTGTGACTACTGAGACCAGGTCATTCACAAATATGGAAAACAGCACAGGACCCAATAACGAGCCCTGGGGGACTCCAGAAAGAACAGGAAACGCTGTGGATGTACATCCATTGTATCTGACAACCTGGTGACGATTACTGACGTAGCTTCTGAACCAACTTAGCATGGCACCAGTAACACCCAAAACGCTGAGCTTAGCCAGTAGATGTTCATGACTCAATCTGTCAAAAGCCTTCGACATGTCCAGGTAAATGCTGTCTACTTGATGACTTCTGTTGAAGGCTGATATTATATCATCTTGATAGATAACCAGGTTGGATGCAGCTGATCTACCGCTATAGAAGCCATGCTGGGCTGTTGATAAGTGGTTCTTAATAAAAAAATGTAATCTAGTGAGAACCAGGGATTCAAAAACTTTGGCGAGCGATGATTGTATGGAGATTGGTCTGTAGTTCTTTATGTCTGAAGAATTACCATTCTTGAAGATAGGTGTAACAAAACTTGTCTTTAGGCAGTGGGGAAAGATACCCAAGTGCAAAAACCAGTTGATGTATACTGTCAAGTGAGGGGCAAGAATCCAGCTACAGTACTTTAATATTAATGGTGGAATATCGTCAGGACCAGCTCCCTTATTACCATCTAAGGTGGAGAGAACCTTTTCGACTTCATTGCAAGAAACAGAAAATTCAGTTAAGGAACCAGAAGAACACTGATCTTCGAAGAAAGGATCTCTTTCAGATGGTTTGAAAACTGAAGAAAAGTGTTCAGCAAAGAGCTCACAGATGTCTTGTGGGATAGTTGCAGTTTTTTCATCAAGGCTCATCGTATTATTGGTTTTCGCAGATTTCTTCGTGTTATTGATGTGAGCCCAGAAAGCTTTAACATTGTACTGCATGGAGTCTTCAACCTTGCTAATGTACTGTTGGTAACAACGCGAGGTGAGTTCCTTGCACTGTGCCCTCACAAGACAAAAATCATGGTAATAACGTAGGTTTGAAGTAGCCTTATACTGACGATGGAGCTTCTTCTTCAATATAACCAACTTCTTTAGATCATGAGTGAACCAACATGGGAAGGAAGATCTTCTAATGCATTTAATTGGTGTATGAGACTTGATTAGGGTACTAAAATTGGTACAAAAGTCCGAGAAATACGATTCAATATTATCATGATTACATAGGGAGGGATACTGCCAGGACTGTAAGTCATCAAAAATTCCTTCCTTATTACTATTGATAAAGTCGTACTTGTAAACTTCACTATTTACTTTGCAAAGACCAGAACATGTTACTTCGATGTCCAATGCAGGGTGATGAGATTCAGATGGTACCAGTGGGTCCAGGGCCAAATCGACAGACACCTCGTTGAGAGAGGAAAACACCAGGTCAAGCAAAACACCTCGCTCGTTCAAAATCGTATTACACTGTTGCAACTGGAAGAGATTAATTAGATTCAAAACAGAACGAGAAGACGAGAAGCATTAGACAGCATAATAATCACAATGAGCATATTGGCGTACCAGGATTATCGTTTGAGGTAAGGTCTGCAACGATTAGAACAATAACTGAAGAAGATCTGAATTCTGAATGATTATCTCGAAAGCTATACAAGGGAATTTCCATTGGGGAACATATTATGTCGCTCGGTGAAAGGAAAAGCATTGTTATTGTTTTGTTTTCATTGATTTGGTGCCGAATGTATTTCAAATAGATGGACTTCAAGTGAAGAAAAATACTCTTTGTGTTTGACAAAAATTGATGTTTTTTAATATTTTTTCATTATTCAAAGAGTTTCCTTCAGTCAAACAATGTTCAAACGAAGAGTGAATAGTTGGTAATATAAAAATGAATAGTAGTATATGACAACGAATAGTTGATAGCTTTGATCGATGAATTATATCAATCTAAGCCATTGCAAACTGATCACGTTGAACGAGATATGTTCAATGCCGCAAACCAACTTGCCCTTTAATACCAAAAAGACATCTGCAGCAAATTTGATGTACAAATATTGTATTTTCATCTAGTAGTGTAAATTACAGTTTCAATTACAATTAGAACTTGAAGAAATATTCTCAGTTAAAACCCCTCACATAATGTTAAACTGTAATGTTAAAAATGTAATATCAATGATCGACACACCGCACTGGAGCAAAACCAGAACAAAAATGTTTACTCGCCAAATAAGAAGGAGTTCATTTACAGCAAATAAGTTTGCCTATTTACAGAACCAACTAAGGGTGTTTTGACCAAACTAGGTAAGTGTGGCTGGTACTTTTATTATTAAAGATATGGATTCCTTTTGCAAATTTTTTTCTAATTTCAGAATAACATAAAATTATATTAAGAAAAAACATTATTCAAATAAGAAACCATATATATTTGTCACACATTGACTAAGATAGGTAAACCTTTTAGAGAAAACCGGTGGGTAGGTGCAAAAAAGCCCAATTTCTTGACCTGTCCCAGGGTTTGTTCGACTTGGCAACACTGTACGCCTGTCGGCGTCGTCTGCAGATCCTCAGTCTACTCCTTAGTCCTTCTCTTACACCCTCAAGGACCGTCGGCTCGTCCCGTTAACTTTTTATCACAAACTTTCACTTTTAGTTCATTATAGATCGCATCGCGACCGTGTGTTTTGTGATGTGTTTGTGAACTTTATTGTGATTGTTGGTTATCGTTACATCAGTTATAGGTTGTTTATTTGTCAACAGTGGCGTATTTTGTGATGTGTGATTGAAAATTGAGTGCGGATTCCGTTATCGTAACTTAGGGGTTGCGTAGTGAATTTTATTTGTCGCTGAGGCTTTACCCATCAAAGTGAAACGGTTAGGCTTAGTGTTGCCTAAAAAGGTCGCTCGCCCTTTTAGATTAAGGTATGTATTTGTTCTTTTTACAATCGAGAATGATTTCTATCAATATAGTTTTTTGCGATAAAACAGTTTTTGGAATAAAATGAAAGAATGAATATGAGAGCTAACTTGGGTAACGAAATAAAATTATTGTATTTCATTAACAGACTGAAACCATATTTTTGTTAGTCTTATTTGGCTACATAACACCTAGGAGAATGTTAAAATTGTTCTATTCCAATAATAGTGCAATACTATTTACTTCTAATAGATACTGCTCTTTACCAACAGTATTATCTAATTTGGGGTACTTAAATCAAAGAATTTTCCATTCCTTCCCAAACATTTTTTTCGAGCTTAAATAATGAATATTCTGAATAATGAATATTCTATAATATGAAGTATTCTGAAGTGTTTTGGTATGGTTATTGGATACGGAGAAAATTAAAAAAATTGTAAATTTAAATTACCCATTATTCTAATTTTAGTCTGCAAGTTTGCTGCGGTGGAAGTATTTAACATGTGTTATGATAAATCCAGGCGAAGATATTGTGGCTACATAGTTTTGCCATTAATATGAATCTGCTACTTACTGTCTCAACTGTACATTAAATGTAAAAATTATCACATGAGCACAAGCCTTAATATAAACTAATTTATAGTTATATAACTTATATAATATAATTATTTTTTCAAAATCTTCTCGAGTCTAACTTTTAATGATATTGTGTAAAAAAATATACAATGATGATACACAAGTAATAGGCTAAATAGCTTATTCCCTATACGGGAAATTCGCTAAAATAAGAAAATCCATATTTGTTCCAATAAGTATCTACTTAATTAATTTAGTACCGTTGACACTTTATGTGCAGTTATTAAAACTATTACAGCTTTAAAAGTGTAAAATGTGAATTATCTAACCATTGAACCATCAATGCGGCTCTTTACTGGTGATTTACGTAATGGTCAGACGTATGTCCAGCAAAACGGTTTTTGAGAATTTTGAAAACTTAGCCATAATTCCATAAGCAGATAAAATGTATTATTTTCCATCTTGTACCCCTTTAAATCGCTTTAGTTTAGAAGTTCTTCAGTTCCTGACCCGATTAACACAAAAGAAAGTAAAGAATCACCAAACATTATACAACCCAATGCTTAAAAGACTTGAAACTACATCTGACTGAAATGTGATTTTGGCTCGTAAATTGTTGAAGAAATAAATTGTGGTCATATCGAAAGCAGTCTCATACAGGACGATTTTAAAATTGCAAGATACCTGAAATATTATAATCAAATCAATTACAATAAATTGACAAACGTCCAAAATATCTGTGTATTCATCCCACGTCTAATTTATAGCCGAATTGAATCCATCCATATGCATTTGATCGAAACTAAAGATCTTGCCTCTGAGAAACAGCGAAACAGCTCGTCCACCTAGCACTCTCAGAATACTTCTTGATGAGCGAATCTTTTCACTAACCCCCGTGAACTAGATGATTGCATGCAGCCAACCCATGGGCTTACCAGCGCTTAGTTAGGGCCTACTCTTTAACATTCAATTACGCACAGCAATCCGGCCAGAAATAGTCAGGACTTAATGAATTACCACTTGCCAACCCCTTTTGAAAGTCGTAACCATGATTTCGCGGCTATTAGCACGTGTCGCAATCAAGTTTGTCAACCTTCTGTAAATCGGGGACCTATTTTTAGCTGGAGTTAAAACTTTGATTAATATACATTTTTTCTCATCACATTTTAAGGGAAATAATACCATCCCACAGTTATGGTAGTAAATCCTGGGCCTTCTCACTGTATGACTGATAGGAAGATTCTTGTTTTTTTCTCACTGTAATAAAAACTAGAAAACCCTGCTTTGCAGTTAGGGTAACATTTATAATTTATATTTTACTTTTGAAGCGCCAGTTTAAGGTAGTCATCCTATTTCAATTCACAGTTCATGACATGCGTTCTTAAACTCATAATTGGTAAATGACATCAGTCCTTAATGTCACAGTTAGAGAGCGATTCCTATTTCATCTACAGAAGGTCAGAACAACATTTCTAATCCACTCTAAAGTTAGTGAATGATGTTCATTCCACCCCACAGTTATATAAGTACTCATCTCCTAGGAATAGTCACAGTAGTTTCTCATAGGCCAAGCCAAATGGTACGAATCCCTCAGAGTCCTTCGCCTTCCTCACGGACTGTAGACCCAGATGTCTTTGAACAGTGAGCTTATGGTCCTAGCTAGAGTGTAACTGGCCTTATGTAAAAGCGGTTTATCTCCCCTATCTCCGAAACTGTATATAGCTTGTTATTTAGTGATACTCAATAAGTCAAAAACAGTGACTTTATTGTATAGACTATATTCTCTGTAGTTATTAGTGCACAGTATATTAGCACAGAATAGAGAGGACACGTCACAAAAAATATTCAAAATTTGAACATCAAATTCTGTAACTACTACTGTCACAACCCTCAAAAAATTAACCCTCAATATTAGTTCCCTCAAAAATATCCCAATTTATGATGCCATTTCGGAAGTCTGAACGATTCTTCCCGCCAGGCCACAGAGGATTCGCAGGTCCAACTACACTAACCCCGCAACAAAGTTAGCCAACAAAGAGGGCTGATTGCTACCCCCAGCCCCAGGGTGGTTTGATGGGGGCGGGGGAGAGAGAGAGAGAGTCAGAGAGAGAGGATGAGAGAGAAAGACTGATGAGGGGTTGCTCGTTACAAGGGTAGCTCGGATAGTAATCCTAGAATGGGCAATTAACATACATTTACAACCAGTGAATCGATAAATGACAATTCAGTGACCTAATTGGTAAAGAATGTTTTAGGTTCCTTAAATCAGACTACTGATAGTTAAGTGCTCGCTCAGTATTCATTAGGTTGTTGGTTCGGTCCTGAGAATAGCCAACATATTTGTAATGGTTATGTTAATGATTTGAAAATACCTACTCAACTTAAGGTATGGTATAGAACATATTTTAAATAATCAAAACCTTTGAACAGGTACAAAATTAATCTTCCCGATTAATATTTAACTGTTAATGATATCGATACCAGAAAAATTTTAATTCCATCATAACTATAGAAATATCAGTTTATATAATAATTCATCAAGAGAAGGTTAGAGTCTAGACCAGTCGCATTAGATTGTCAGAGACATATTTGCATTATGTTGACCGAGTATTACTAACAAAAGTAAAAACTATAAATTCAACTTGTTCCAGGATGGGTACCCGAGTGATTCCAGACAAGTCCTTGTCAGGAGTCCCTCAACTCCTCGAGGATCTGCAGCGACTCCTGGATGACCACGAGTCCTCGGACATCCTGTTCCTGGTAGGACGGGAGGAGGCTCCTATATACGCCCACAGGATTATACTGATGGCCAGGTAGGATTCATCATGCTACAATAGATTAGTCTCTGTATTGGCTTTATCCTTACATGTAAAGGGATACGATAGTTTTGTACTATAAGTATTCTATATGACGGTCAAATCGCATTAGTTTAGGATTGATCATTTTAGGTTGATGATTATTGTTGTTGGTGTGATATAAAATATCCCAGTTAGAATTAGTTAGGCATTTTAGTTGAGCTTGGTTACAAGCTGTTTCCAATAGAATATAAACGGTGTTGTAGTAGCCTTCCTTTGTTAGTGAACCGGTGAACCATGTTATTTTTTATTATATCATTGGCTAAAACTTTAATTTGTCAGTTGAACGCCTACAGGGTGATGTTAATACAATAAAAACTTTAACTACTTCTATTCAGTAAGAATTAATATTAGCATGTATTCATTACATTGCCTCGTTACATTTGTAACGAGTTTTTAAATCAATTAGAGCATAGTTGAGTATTGAGTACTCGACAGAGTGTAAAACTACAGTTTCCATCCAATTCAGCGGACTTTCTAACAATACTAGAAGTGCTAGACTATAATGTATATTTATAATAGTAGTGCAAAACCCAAAAGAGAACATTTCCCTCATAACATAACTTTAATGTAAAAAAGAAAAATCTATTTCCTCGAACTAACAAATGCATCAAGTTATATTGCGTTATAAAAGCAATGTTTCTTTTACTTACGAACGGTCTTCCTGTTAAATGAAACCACATAATTAAGATTCGTAACTAATAAGAAGCTCTTTGCAAGTACCCTTCTTGAACAACTATTCTGAAACCAACAAAGATTGCAGGTACATTTAAAAGATCAAAGTCTCTCTTTCTTTACAAAAAGTGAAGTTTTAAACTTCAACGCGCTAATTGATACTCATGCGTCATCTGCATTGAAGAATCTTCAAAGAACCTATGGTAAAGAAACCTGAAGAATCTTCAATGACGCATAGCTTCAATGCCTATTCAATCTTAAGAATATATTTCCCACGTGCTTTTAGACCCTTCGGAATACACGGGCAATTATAACTGCAGACAAGCCAATCTGTACCTACAAGAACGCTCGACGTCAAAGACCTAGCCATAGAGTATAATAAGATGCTCGTATTCAGACGGTTGTTTACTCTATGTGACGAGTGTACTTCATGAGCCTTTGATAAGCTAAAAGTGCCATTCGACTTGAGGATCCTTATCTTAGCGTCGGCGTCCTTTTGAAATCGTCCGTTCAAAAAGAATATTTTATTTCGCGAGGACTTTTTGAATCATAATTTTGAAGAGATTAAGTTAGTTTAGAATGGAGTGAAGACATTTTATATGTTTTTATATGAGTTTGACCTCACAGTGTAAATTGAGTTTTGGCAAGAAAATACGCTATGGATAGAAGCGGTGACAAATAGCAATATTTTAGTTGGAGCAATTATTTTGAACAGACCATAACAACTTATGATATAGTAGCTCTGTATAGGAACTTGAATATTGTGATTGCAACCAACAAACTACATACATAGGTATTTATAGAACGTATCATATTAACAGGGAGAAGTGACGCCAGCGAAGGGATTGTTGACTCTGATAATTAGTGAATGTCATTATTCCTTAAGTTGTTTACTATAATACATTCCCGATTACTCTACAAACTACTTTCACCAAAGCAGAAGTCTTAATTTTGTTTGTCACTATGTTGTGAAGAAATCTCCAAAATCAGCCAGTTTGTTCCTGTTAAACTTGTTTAAGGTGATATTTGCCATGCTTGAAAGTCACCAGAAGACGGTTAGTAATAATCTAATAGCAAGCCTAATAAGCATCTAATAAGCAAACCTGTTTAAATTGCATGAGTCTTCAATCCGTTGACAGAAAATAGGAACGGCGAAGTAAGAGTAATCGAGTTTGCGAAAACTTCAATTAATTTTACAAAGCAAACATGGTCGGTAAATCGACTTTTTATTTTTATGCCTCTAATTTTAAATAAATAATCTTATATACGACTAATTTTGTTATAAATTTATGCTATCCAGCATATATGAATCAATTACTGTACTTTGAGTAATGTAATATTTATTTTAATTTTAAATTTAAGTTCGTCTTATTTTCAAACTATTCCTTAGAGGTTGAACATTAGGCATGAATACCTAGTTATTTTAGGAATGGTTCTTTTAGGGCTTGTCACTTGAAATGAAATGAAATGAAATGAAAATCCTTCTTTATTGAGGCGAACTTAGGACCTCATGGTCCTTTCTTACAGTTAACCTCACTTATGTCCTGGAAGCTAAAATCGCGCCACTCACCGGATGGGTTTCACAAAGTTTTACTCGTGTATCAATACTGAGACCCAATGGTTCGGAACCCATTTTTATTCTAATCTAACAGAACAACCAATCTAAAAAAATAATAGGTGTATCAATCTAGAATAATATGTATCGGAGAACCTCGTCCACTTAATATAGTTTAACATTAATAATATGTTGTTTTAAATGCATACCTGTAGTATCTACGTGCACATGTCACCTAAATCACATGGAGCACCATCGGCGGCCTGTAGCAGGGTAATTAACACCGTAATGACGTCATTAACATGACATTAACACAGCTGTTGGTCGCTCGGCCTAGTGTCCTACGCGCAACATGTTAATATTATTACCTTGGTTTGATTCCAGTAAAAATCAGCATTAGCCAATTTGTATGAACGGTATAAACATGGATCTCCATGGATCTGGCATAGGTCAACATACGTCTTGACAACTGGATATTTTCTAGCATACTTTCAAAAATATCCGGTTGATTTGGTTTAGAACCCATAAATCTTGAGTGAACACAAAGATATTTCCAGTTTTAGCGAATTTCCCTATAGGGAAGTAGCTATTACCGTAGGTGGCACGGTAAGACCTAGGCCCGGGACCGATTTACTTTTTCATTTTGATGTCCCCAGAAGCTAAAAACACCAATCGTTCAAATTTTTATATATGTATATATATATATATATATATATATACGTCCGTGAACGCGATAACTTGAGTAAATTTTGTCCGATTTTGATGAAATTTCGTTTAAAGGTGTAAGGCAGGATAAACTTGAATGAGTTCGCGAACCAGCATGATCGGACCATGGGAACGGGGTTTTACGGGGGGTTTTATGGGGTAAAAATTGGTTTTTCTCATTTTTGACCCTCAAAACACAAAATTTCTCAATTTCTCTCTAGACCTTTTTAAAGAGCTTAAAAAACTAATAATTTAGTATATTAAAATGTTTTTGTACGGTTATCGGTAACGGAGAAAATTTAAAAAATTGTAAATTTAAAATTCCCATGCTATTCTTATGGAGAATATTGTAAAATGTTGTAGTTTGCTTGTTTATGGATATATTTTGATCAAACTTGGCTAACTTATTTATTTTATACTAAGCTAAGAATATTTTAGTAAAAAATACACTTTATTAGTTTCTTTGTAGCAGCATACCTAGGTACTCGTTAAACCTAATGTTATTTAAATAGGTTTAATTGAAAATCAATTCAGACAAATGGAAATTCGCTTAGTCGGCAGGTTTGCTGCGGCGGGGGTATTTATTCACTTTGTGAAAGTAAGGATTAAACATGTTCTCGTCATATATTATACTTACCCAGCAGTTTTAGACGAGTTTAGCAGATTTATGTCAGGTAACATTTATTTTTGTTGATGTCTTCAATTATTTGTGTTAATTTTTATAACTGCAGACAAGCCAATCTGCATCTACAAGAATGTTCGATGTCAAGGCATACATAAATATATAAATTAGTAACAACTAACTTTAAAATGATTGCAAATAAATTGCAAGCTCTATTTACAAACATGTTTTCCCTGCATAACAGCGGGGCGTATGCTGAGACGCACGCGGCGCAACGCACGCAACGCAGCACAAGCAATGGTAGTGGTTTGTATTCATTGGCACAAGGCAGAAAACTGTGCCGTCATGTTAACTTACGGCGCCGCGTAAGCTGAGACGCACGCGTGTATGTGCCTGACACACGCGTGGGCCGGCCTGTCACAGTTTTCAACGCATGCGACACAGCTTTTAGACGAACCAATTCCTCAATTCCCTTGTCGGACTCGATGTAGTAGGTACTTTCAGCCATCTTGACAACCAACCAGCTGTGTTCTCTGCAACTAAATACGTGTGCTGCGTGGCTTATCTCAGTTTGTAGCACAGACACAGATTTTCAGACACACTAAACACAACTCGTGTGAACGATGACAACAAACAAACGAGCGTCGATTGAGTTCCAAAGTGAATTATCTGTGGTGTATGAAGTAAACCATGCAGTTTTGAAACCTCATGATGGGACTATCGGAACGGAGCTTTATAATTTAAAAATATTGTTATTTCCATTTTTGAATCCACGTAACACATTGTACTTGTTCTTAAAATCCTGTTTAGAGCTGAAAATCCAAATCAAAGGTCATAAACAATTAAAGGTCATAATATTAATATTAAGCGATTTTGGGAAAAATTATATTCCTTTTTTTCATCTTATTTTTGTATGTAGAATCTGGTTCTGCTACGTTTTTTTTTTGTGATACTATGTATATTTAGCCTTAGCACAGACAAGGGAAACAGAGTTTGTTTTGTTTCCTTAGTCAATGACCATAGCTTCGTAATTTAGGGAAATGCCTCAATAACACCTATATAATTCCTATACGTTAATTAACTAGTTCAGCACATGTATTAATATTTTATCAATGCATTATTCACATTTTATATTTGAAAACTTTGCTATGCAACTTATTTGCATTACATTGGTTTTCCAGCATCTCAGCAGGAAACGGTAGTGGCGGCCGCATTCGTACCAACCTGTAGATATTTGCGAAAACGTTCGAATACACGTAGGTTTACATTCTTATGAGACTCTCCCCCTTTTTTTAAGGAGCTTTTTTTAATATGACTGCATTTTCCAACATGGTTAACAACTTAAATATTTTTATGGAATACCCTGTAGCCTATTTTATGATTGTTTTGGAAAGTAAATGC